CTCTGCCTGTTGAGCAACCGGGCTCCGAAATGGGCAAAATGGCCTACGGCCACCAAATGTAGCCTACGGACATTGAGAGATGGTCTACTAGACCTCTCCCTCCCCTCAGGAAAAGAAACCGAGAAAACCGAGCCTGGTTCGCAAACCGAGGCAAGGCACAGAAGAGGGTTCGGAAGTTCGGAGGCAGGGCGCACGGCCGTGACTCTAAAACTTCTGAACGAGCACATTACACAACATCACCAAGCGCTCAATCAGTGACGTCTGAGTCTTAAGGTCGGTCAAAAATGGGGTGTCTACACCCATAAACATGCCCGCTTCTTAAAAAAAAAAAAGAAAAAATGAAAGCATGCTTCCTAAAATTGATGAGGAAAAAAAAAAGACAAGAAGAAAAAATGAATTGTTCTTGAATCTTGTGTTATAATTTTTTTGTTTTGAATTTTTCATCCCATAAGTTACTTCCAAACATAGACTTAAAGTAAAGTAAAGAAAAGATAAATTGAACATACCATTCTTTCAAAGTTGTTCAGTTGCAATGCCTTAGCAGACATGTTCACTTGTTGCCTTGGATTGAAGAAATGCTCAGGCCAATTCATAAGACCACAATATTCTTGACTTAGGAATCTAGAGGGGTGATCAACTGAATGTGACACCACTGAAGACGACCCTCTCTGGAGACTCTTATGGGCTTCAAATGCAACGATGTCAAATAATATTACTCTTGCACTCGATTCAAAGTGATACTGGGATGCTTGATGAGAAAAACTGGCTTGCCTAGTACCTGTCATTGATTTAAAAAAGGAAAGATTATACATAGGACCTAGTTTCATAAAGTTCCCAAAAAAAAATAATAATATGGCTTTCATTTGTTTTAGTTCAATTGCTTCATTGAATTGGAGACAACTGCGAACTGAAAAGAGGGACCATTTTTCCCTCTGCAAGTTAACTGCAACGGCTGTTTCTCACGACAAGTTCAAGTGGCAGCACCGAAAATACTGGAGATATCGACGCCGACAAAGTACCTCAGCAGCTTTGCCACGGCAAGTGCTACCTCAGCAAGTTAGTTGCTACAATTTTCTTTTTTCCTCATCAAGTTCAAATGGTAGGGCCAACAGTACTTGGGATAGCGGCACCGACAATCCTAGAAATGGCAATGCTGAGACAAAAGTGCCTTAGCAACTTGACTACTACAGGAGTTGGCTCCGCAACTTGACTTAACAATTTTTTTTCATGGAGCTTGTTTGGACCTTTGGCGGGTCAAACCTGTTCTGGCCTACTGTTGACCCACTTCCCTTGGGCTTTAGCCCATGTTCTTTTAATCATTCTTACTCGTATAATAGGGGCGACCTCAACACTTAGGTCCACACTTAATTTCGACCTTAATTTCTGACCCTTTATAGTCTTTATATGCTACACAATGATTTTTTATTTTTATTTTTATTTTTTTGGCTGTGTTTTATGAAAATAAAACAAACATGTAGATAATATACATGCATTTAGCCGAGCGTGGCATGGGTTTGACACTACATAAAGTTCTAAAACCAATTTAATTAAAGAGAAAATTAATCCCACATTAGAGGTAATTAGCTGTTAATAAGGTGAGTAAAAGACCTAGGTAAATCTTGTGGAGGTAAGAGGGAAGAATAATAGTTAGGTGTGCCATTGCTATTTATTTGGAAACATATTTATTATAATTGTTAGGTCCCTACTTGTTGCCAATTCTGCGAACAAGCTCTGTTTTATAGAGTTGTACTTTTTCCTTGGTTTTGGTCTTCCCGCTCAAACAGGAACATTTGCGCTTGAGCGGAGATTGCACCCTCTCAGTAGATTGGCTTGTCTAGACAAATACTGGGAGGCATGTTTTTGCGCTCGAGCGTGAGTTCCAACGCTTGAGTGGAGACCTGTTTTAATCACACGCATTTTAGTGACTCCGCTTGTGCAGCAAATTCTGTGCTCGAGCAAGGTACGCGGCCTGTGTTTTCTATATATATGTGTTTAAGTTATTTTTTAGGGTTAAGGCTTCTAGATCTATTCTGAGAGCTCTAGGGTTTTCTTTAGAAGCTATTTTACTAGTTTTCCATTGATGTTTTCTTGAGTATTAAACTCACATGGTTTGATAATTCACATCAAAGGGTTGTTTGAATGATCATCTTCAAGAGTGTGCTTCTTCGGTGGAATCCGGATATTCAAGCATGAAGCGTTCGAAGGTGTTCGAAGCTGTGGGCAGTCATTGAGTTGACGTGGATGTTGTGGAATCAACATCAATCTAATCAATCCAAAGACGAAGGCTACGGTGGATGATATACAAAGCGTTGAAGACAAATTGACAGAGGTCGGGTAATTTGTTTGGGTATTTTGTATTCTTTCTTTCCTTCATAGTGAATTGATTTGTGGCGTTTTGCCCGTGGTTTTTTAATTACAATTGAAGGTGCTCCAATAGTGATTTTTTCTATGTAAAAATCGTTTGTGTCTATTTATTGTTTCTAAAACAACACTCTAAATCACTTGCGTACATGCTTGATGATTTAGATTGTGAGTTTTAATAGTTTGGGAATTGGTACAATTAAATCTTGAGCTAATCACGAATCACTTAGGTTTTTCAGTAATTATGTCTTAATATAGAAGGGAGAACTTTGAACTTAGGTGTGCCATTGACCTTGATAGGCTCCCTCTAATTCCTCCATTACATGAAACCTATTTCTTCAAATAGACGCATTTAATTTATTTATTTTTTTTTTTTTTTAAATTTTTTTTTTTTTTTTTGTACCTACAACCCATCTATGAATTGTTCTCATTTCAAGAGCTAAATTCTCAAACATGTTTCTTGAATGTTGACTAGTTTTTCTGAAGATTTATAGGTCTCTTAATGTGGATTTATTTAGGCTATCAAATTTATATTGTTGGACAGCTTGACATATATTATTGCGACTATTGGTGATCTAACATGGTATCAGAGTCCAGGTTGGGGGACATCTTGGATTCAATTCTCTCCAATTGCAATTGGTTCCTGCTTGCATTCTCTCTTCTCTGTATGTAAGGATATCTACATCTCTATGTGTTGTGTGTGAGGGAGGGTTTCAGAGAGCTTGATATACATTGTAAGGCACATTTCCCCTTGTCAAGTGAAAATGCAAACCCAAAACACAAAGACAAGGTCACTAATAGTTATAAACAATGAATTTATATCAAACCCCAAGCAAAAACATCATAATTATACATAACAGAAAACAGTATGTAAACAAAATGTGGAGTACTAGTAAACATGCATATTATGGGATGCTAAATAAATTTCAATTACCTAATGTTTCTGATCCTAGGAAGTTTAGATCCCCATATGAAGGAAATAGTGCTGCAAGATATGTAATCAATTCTTCTTGGATAACTTGTGTTTTTACGAATCCTTCTAATAGAAGGCCAATGGAATGTTGAGGTATTTCTATAGTTTCTCCCTGTAAGCATATACTCATTATTGACCTTTCTGCAACAAGGGTTCTCATGTCTTGCGTGGCCATTTTCTCAAAACATTGAGGAAGTAGAAGTTTGGCAAGAATAGCTGCTCTTTCCTACCAAAAGACAAAAAAGAAAATATACCCATCTAATTTATAATAAAAAATGTAAAACAAAAATAACAATAATAGATAACTTGCATGACCCATTCTGTGAAACACATTTTTAAGGGATATGGGACACCATAACCACTCTAGAGTTAATCAAAATTTTTACTAAATTGTAATGCCATTTTACCCTTATTTCCATAGTTAACATCCACAGACGAAGAAAACACATCAATAGATGAACGGCATATCCTTGACTTGGTGGCATAACTTAACAGTTCATGTCCAGTTATAGATCTAATGGAATGTATATTATGAAATTAAGAACTAGAAATCAATGTTCTATACCAAGTTTGTGTTTGGGAGTTACATACTATGTTACTATGGACTTAGGAATTAGTGTCGGCTAGAGGTATGTAGGTATTTGTTGCTCATTTCCTAACGTCTTAAGCTTTTAGGACAAATGGTGCCTTAACATAGTATAAAACTCAGGTTGAGAGAGACCTTGAGTTAAAATCTTTCTGTTGGTATTTGGTATTCGGTCCCCATTTGGTTTCTTCTTTTTTGTTTGGTTGTCTAGTTCTCTTTTTGTTTGCATTTCCATCTACAAGACGGGGTTGAACATAAGGGATGGTTTTGGATAGCTTGATATACATTGCTGGGTAGTTTAAGCTTTTGGAACAATTGGCGACTAAACAGTATTAAGTTCATCAAATTCGTATGTCTTAAGGACATCACGATGTAACTAGATTTTATATGTTTAAATACTTCTTTTTTTTTAGGATAAAATGTTGTTGAACAACAAACATAGAGCCTTTTATTGCATACAATGGGGGCCATGCATATTTATATACTAGTAAACTTGACTACTTAAGACATACTTGTTAGATGCATGTCTAACTAAATTTATCGGTCACGTATCCCATGCATTTCCTAAATGTTTAGTGACATGGGTGCTTTACAAATTTAGAAAAGTCCAAGTAACATAGATGCCAATGAATGAGGCCGTAGATGTTCTACACTGATTAGAATCACGAACTCCCAATATCATCATACCTGCCAAAAGATATCCTCTGCTGCTGAATTAGATTTGAGCACTGTACATATCTTTTCAACTTCAATGAAGTAACTCAGTACCATAGAATTTGTGATCATGTCACATACGCACAGCTTGCCAATCAACACTTCATACATGCCAAGAGTACTTCCATGGGTAAATGTTGGATGTAATAAGTGCTTATTTTTTATACTATTACTTGCCCACTACAGAACAAAAATTCGCATTTGTGACATATTGAAATTCAAAAATTGTAGTGAGAGATCTTAAATGAAATAAAATTTTATCCCTCAGATTCTAATTGGCCCAAGCAAATTGTTTAATTACCTTCACCACATCATTTAAAATGAGCCAAATTCCATCAAGCTTCGAACCCTCCTTAAATAGTGTCACACCACATAGTTTCATTATCTCTTTGGGAGAACCTGCAAGTTGCTCATGGACAGAATAAGGAAGATCTACCAAGAAACGATGGACACTGCTTGGAATCTTCGCTAAAGGAGGGTTCCTTAGTAGCCTTTTAAAATTGGTCTGCATAAAAATTGGAATAATACTCTCAATATAAATGGAAAAAAAAAGATTAAATTATATATATAAAGGAAGACCATAAGAAGGAAAAATGACAAAACAAAGTATTTATCATCGAGCCTGGACAGCATCATGAAGATGAGTTGTCTTTTTTTCTTCCAATAACCTCATATTCTCAAGATTTTTGACATAATCAATTAATTGATTAAGCACACAATGTGTTACTTGCCTTGTTTTCATATAATGAAGAACCGGAAAATGTATCTGGACCTATTTATTGATGTTTGAGCATGTATTAATAACTTTGTTGTATTGATTTAATATAAACATTGTATATGTTTTGAAAATATGAATTGTATATTCAATATCGAGAACTTGTTTATCATTATGATAAGAATGGATGACTGGTGGACGGATCATGGTTATGAATTTGATTTACTACCCTTGTTGTAATTGGTTTAAAACATGGATTTGATGTTTGGTTTAAATTTCAGGGACGAAATTCCATAAGGGAGGGAGGTTATAGCGATTCTGGTTTAGACCCGACCCATTTAATGTTCTAGATTCGGGTTTCATCATCTTACATGTGATTCAAGTCTTGCTTCTCTTTGTCCTCATTGAGTTTGGTCATTGGAGTGTCAGGGTTGTGTTTGGAACAGATTGTGAGTTAGTTTTTCAAAATTGTTGTTGCCCAAATTTTGACTCTTACACTCAAGCGGACTTTGTGAATTCTCAATACTTTTGCAGGCCTGCAAAACTAGTAAGAGTGTGCATTCTTCACTCGAGAGGTGTTTTCTGCACTTGAGTGGTATCCTGCTCAAGCGAGACTTCTTGTGCTCAGGTGGTGGTTCTCTATTTGTAAAACTACTAGGAGTTTGTATTTTACACTCGACTAAAACTTCTTGCACCCGAGCTGTCACATCTTTTGTGTTTGGATACTCGAGTGACACTTCTTGCGCTCGAGTGGTCTGCGCATATATCAGTCCATAAAAGTCACTTTTTATATCACTTTTTCATCTCTCTCTCTCTCTCTCTCTCAAAACATTTCAAAGCCTTAAGTTGAGATACTCTCTCTCTAAAACTCACATTCTCTCTATAAATCCACCTAGATTCGTTGATCTTTTCACTCGTGTGCCTTTGTTAAAAAGATATAGCTCGACGAGGGCTTTGTTCTAACTAGAGCAAAGTTGATTTTTAGCGTCTTTGGGTTTCCTTCACTCACTCTCTCTCTCTCTCTCTCTCTCTCTCTCTCTCTCTCTCTCTCGTGGTTTAGCTTGTGGTAGGGATACTTTCCACACTTTTTATGAGTTTTAACGTAGTTATTTGTTATTTCTAAACAATATTGAGATTTTGGAAGATTTGGAACAACCTAGGGTTTTGGGTAAAAATCAACAGAGGGGTTTTTTAAATAGGTCCTTCAAAATGATTTTGGTATGGAAGAAAATGTTGAGTTGGGGTTGATTTTGGTATTTGGGATGCATTTTGGAAAGAAAAGGGATTTTTCCCTAAATGCCTCAAATGCTGATTTTATATAAATTATGAGATTGATATTGAAATTGTGAAATTGGATTGAGGTTGATGATGAAGGTGGAGTTAGATATGCATTATCACTCACCTTTTGAAAATTTGGAGTATTTATCTTTATTGATAATTGTTTATCTGTTTAGAAATATCTATTTTGGGCTATCGGTGGAGGATAGTTATGAGTGTTGTAGAAATTATATGTGAATTAGGATAATTGAAATTATTTTCTCATTCATTTGCACTGAGCATTATCTCACACTTATATATTGAAAATGTTACTGTTTTGAGAAAATGGGTGAATCTGGGAAGGAATTGTTGTTACATCAAATAAGTTACTATGTGTGTCTAGGGTGAAAGTCTTAAAAACCATGTGTATATATGGGTGCCAATCCCATGGACAAAAATTCCGTAAAATGGCAATAGTTATGCTTGTATAACCTTTGTTTACATAGGTCTTAGTTTATAGTTTCCTTCGGACGAAATTTCCGAGAAAGGTTGTATAGTTTGAAATTCCCAGAGTGTGATTCACCACCCTAGTTTCTATTATAAAGGAAAATGATTTATGAACCATGATATTAACTTGGCATTGCATGGTTTTGGAAAGAGCGTAAAATGTTTTGGTACGAGCATTGCATATGCATTCATCTTATAGCTTTGTTAAGGTTCATATATTGTGTTGGATTATTTCTACTGGGCTTTGGCTCACCCTATGTGAGAAAAACATTTCAGGTGCCGATGATATGCCTTTGCCAAGGCAATAGCTTGGGAGGACTTGAAGCGAAAGCTTCTTTTGTGTATTTACCGTATTTACTTTTGTAGAAGCCAAGGGCTTTAACTATATAGGACTTAAGTCCACTTTTGTTGTATCAAAGCATTGTCTTGAAAAGATGTAAGCATTTAGGGTAGTTCTTATTTGTCTAACTTTTATCTTGTCTTTCTATTATATCACCCTTTCGTAAAGTTTAATTGTAAATCAATAAGAGATAACTACTTTATTATTGTGATCACTTTTTTATGTTGAGTATGGGTTATAGTAATTATTTCAGGGCGTTACAGATTCTAAGAAAAATCTAGCATAATTAACGATTAAAAGTACATTCAATGAGGGTGTTTAAACACAGAAACCTGAGGAAATGTAGCAGGAACATCTTCCAAGAATTTTCTTGCTTCCTCTCCTTTAGCTTCACTTTCTTTAATGACATTAGTTGCAATGCCACTATCACCTAAATTGAAAGAAAAAAAAACACGTGTAAGAATTAAAGGATTGTCTCCAATAATAGAGAGGTAGTACAAACAGATTAGGGGCAAATCCATTTTTGCCCCTTATGGATTGCTGTATAAGCACTTTACCATGTGTTGTTTGAAAATGACCAAATAACCCTCATGTGGTTTGGGAGTAATGCATTGCTACGAACTATGTCCAAATTGATGGATATTGTAACATGCCTATCTAAGAGTTAGGATGAGAAAAAATCAACCCAAAGTCAACTTTTAATGCAAAAAGGCAATTATTTACAAGAGGACAAAACAAAAAATCTGTGTCATTTTCATCTTCATCTTTTACTGTATTTATCAATATATATATATATATATATGTATATATCATATTTGCAAGTTGGCACCCCTACAACCACTGCTCAACCAATAATAATGGCAAGACCGTGCATGGAGCTACATGTAGACGTCCCCGAACGCCCCGGGAGGACGAGTCCCGTCCCCCATTCTGTTCGTTTTGCGGGTCTACTACAGTTTGGACTCTCAAATTGTCACGGTTCTAAATCTGAACCAAAGAGTCCAAATCCGGAAAATCATTTTGAGAAAACAGATTTTTAGAAAGAAGTGCCAAACATGGACTGCTTTGCCAGATACAGAGTCGCCACCTAAATATTTTATTTTGGGGGAACGTCATCACAAAAAAGTACCTCGGCCGGAAGCTTGGGATATAAAGTCAGCAATACACCCCACCCCCGATCCGAGATCGCCCACTAACCATTTTGAAAACGTTATGTGTTCTTATTCCATTTATTAGCCTAGAATTACTATGTTATGCGCGCAACAAACAAGTATAGACCAAATCGCCTAAATTGGAACAAAACATTGCATATCCGTTTGTTTGGAAAACGCTTTGGAATTTGCAACTCAAAGTAGGCTAAAATACGGATTTCAATGAGTTATCCCAACTCAAACAATCTAACCTTCATCCACAGGCATTCAAGCAGTTATATCACATAAGCAGCTAGCCTCATGGTAATCATGCAATTATGGAAACCCTCACACGCATGCGGTATGCTAAAGCAAAAGGACTTACAGAGTACTCCAAGCCAAAACAGAAACTAGTTAGTAATCATATGCATGATCCTAGTTCATGTTAAGATGGCTAATGTAACACATGCAGGATGCATCTAGAATAGGCTCGGCCATCTTGAACATAGCATGTGAAATGCAACAGATAACACGTATTCAATTTGGAATTGAAATACAAATGCAGTTAGAATGATGCGCCGAGCCCGGTGCATGAAAAATGAATGAATGGATGCAAACATGCCATCATACTGTATGCTAATTGAAACATGCCCTAGACTAACCATTGAAAGCTAATAAATAAAAGGGAAGAAAGACATGGGGTTGGAAGACATACACGCACTCACGCACACTTATTACACAATTGCCCTCGCTCGGAGGGTCCAAATAAATATTACAGTCTGAATAAATAATACTAAATTAATTATTACAGAACTTCTAATTAATTAACAAATTAAATGCAAAAGGAAGGGGGCCACAGCCCTGCCTCGGAATGCGTGAATGATGCATGTTTGACCCATCTCGCCCGGAAACTCGCTGCCATAGCACAGTTGCCTCTATTAACACTGCCCTGCTCCTCTGAAGACTGCACAAGTCTTGGAATAGGTTCTCTGCACACTTTGGAGCACCACCGGATAGGACGAATGGTCACTGGCCACGGGGAATGATCACCGGCTGCATTTTGATATATCGGCCGCAAATTCCTGGCCGGTCGGCACTATATATAGCCGACCGGCCAAAACTTCCTGCAGAACCTGCAATTGACAGCAGCAGAGGGCAAGCAGTGTATGGCATGGAATTTTCAAAGCAATGTATGCATGGCCACTCTCCCAATCATGTAATGGACTCAAGGGAGTATGCCCCTCGACCCTCGGGCAATCAATTATGCATGATGGCCTAAGAGGCCAAGTTTTGTAATTTCGATATCAAATGAAATGCAAGCACAAAACACATCAAAGGGCCCCAACCCCTATCATGATTGATCAAGAGGCAAGGGATGCATGCTCCATGAATTACAACCTAGGCATGCAGGCTAAGTATGCAACATGAACATGCAAATGAGCAATGTATACTAGGCGCGCAACCTAAACATGTAAGCAAACATGGCATGCAACAACATGCGATGATGGACTTAAACTAACATGGATAGCTCGCAAGCATGCCAAAATCAGTGGCCATTAGATGAAAATGAGACACTCGAAATGCGTGCACGCATGCACGCAAATCGAGGACCAAACCTAAGACATCAAGTCAGAGCCCACAACCGGTCAGCCTTATGGTCATGCCTTGACAAGACAAGCCTCCAGCAAACCGTTCAGGAATGGCAGATGGCAAACACGGTGTCCTAGGCGCACCAATGCACATGTAATGCAAAGAGACACATAAATGAGATCAAAACAGGATA